GGGCACATAGCGCAAAGTACGCTCTATTCAATAGATGTAAAAGAATTTCCTCATCTGGTCCATTAAGCAGCAATTAAGTTTTGAAAATCAGACTGATCATAGATCACAATTCAACGAAAACAGTTGTCACAAAGAAACTTTCCGAACACTTACAGCTAAGCGTGCTCTATGAGGCAACAAAAACCCTAAGGTCTTACTAAATGTATTATGTTTGAAATAAGGAATTTTTGAAAAAAACTACTCTGCTTGATGACGACCGATTGGAAAGCACAGTTTTAAAAATCCTTTACAAATCACCAATCGCATCCAGCTCAATGAAACTTGCCAAACATACAGGGCAAGATGGAGTATATTCAAAGCTTTGCAAGCTAATCGCCAACCTAAAAAATTTTGAGCGAAATTAAGTTTTGAAAACTATACTTCAAAATGTGCTATTCCAAAAAATTCCGCAAAATTTACCAGAACCTCTGTTCGCGTTAAAACTCTTCACACGTATAGAGCAAAGGGTGCTCTATCTATCCAGTGGCACAAAAAACAGTACTGGGTTGGGGCCATTGAAGAGCAATATATTTTTGAAAATCAGTCTGCAGCTTGTGTGGCTTGGAACCGACGAGTTTGCAAGCACATTTTGAAAAATTCGTCAAAATTAATCAAAAACTCTGATCGCGGTAAACTTCTTTGCACATATCGGGCAAAGACTGCTCTATCTAGTGACGCAACAAATAGTACCGGGTTTAGGCAATTGAAGAGCAAATAATTTTTGAAAATCAGTCTGCACTTGTGCTGCTTGAAACAGACGAGTTGGAAAGCACATTTTTAAAAATTCTTCAAAATTAATTTGAAACTCTGATCGCGTTAAAACTCTTCACACATATAAGGCAACGGGCACTCTATCAAGAGGCCGAAAAACCAGTAACGGGTTTAGGCCATTGAAGAGCAAATAATTTTTTGAAATCAGTTTGCAACTTGTGCTGCCTGGGACAAACGAGTTGGCAACCACATTTTCAAAAATTCCGGAAAATTCATCAGAAACTTTGATCGCGTTAAAGCTCCTCATACGTATGGGGTAAAGGGTGCTCTATCCAGTGGCGCAAAAAAACAGTACCGAGTTTGGACCATTGGATAATGATGAATAATGTTTGGACATCAGTCTGCAACTGGTACTGCCTGGGACACACGAGTTGGCAACCACATTTTGAAAAATTCTGCAAAATTGATAAGAACCTCTGATCGCGTTAAAACTTGTCACACGTATAGGAAAAAGGGTGCTCTATCCAGTCGCGTAAAAAAAACAGTACCGGGTTTGGGCCATTGAAGAGCAATGGATTTTTGAAATGCAGTCTGCAACTTGAGAGAGAGTTGGCAAATACATTTTCAAAAATTAATCAGAATTTCTGATCGCGTTCAAGCTTTTTAGCTGATAGAGTGAAGCGTACTCTACCCAGGGGCCCAAAAAGCAAAGTCTGCTTTATTCCGTGGAAGAGCAATGAATTTTTCCAAATCCAAAGCTGGCAATTGCTAGCAAATCAAATGGAATTCAATTAATTAATCCAAACAAGCCAATCGAGAACTGGAAAAGAATCCCGATTTTTGTCACCAACTTTGCCTTTGCCTGTCACATGGCCAGAAAGTTTCGCTTTTGATAAACTGCTGTTGACATCGCACATATCCAGACCGCAATGCCGCCTTTCAAATCAAATGAAATTAAATTCTGTTCCAGACATGGATTTGCGCCCGTCCAACCTGCGTTGGAATTACTGGAAATAAATCATTGGTTGACATGGACAACTTGCTGCTAATGTGCGAACCACCAGATACATTTGCTGCTTAAAAGGCTCGGCTGGAGGAAACGCATCCAGAATTGCCGGAAAGTCTGCCGCTAGAAGATCCATCTATCTAGTGACTGTAAAGTGGATTCGAATTAACTGCGATGGTCAATGCGATCAATTCAAAGGCAAGTGAACTCCAATCAAGGTCGTTACGCCGATGGTTCTTCTATTCATCTTCGTTCTGGGCGCTATCAGGGAAAGTGTTAGATATCTGCAGATAACACGCCCGTTGCTTTTGAACTTTGAGCATTCCCACTATGATTTATCAAGCCGGCACATCAGGTGGGAGAGAATGCAATCGAACGATAAAAGCGAACATCAAATGGCGAAAAAAAATAACAAATAAATTGTCATTTTCCAAGAATAAATCAAACTTGAAAAGGGAATAAATGCTAGATTTGCAAACCACAAAAGAAACAACGCAGTTGATTTCCGTGCGGTTCAAAACAGTGAATTTTCTAGCCAAAATGCTTTCAGTGTTTTTTTGTTTCTTCACCTTAACATTTGCGGACAAATCGAAAGTCGTTGACCAACCGAATGCTGGTCAAGGTCGCCTGACCTTATCCCGGCCAGGTCACACAAAAAATGCGATTTTACCGAACAAACCGCGTGGAACGTAAATTTGTTTAGAAGCTGAAAAAACCTCGCAATTTTCCCCCACGGCGAATCAAATGAAGGCTCCCAATCCATTTCCCTAGCATAAAATTGCACATTTCAGTGGCCAAAACTATAAAACCCCCAGCGC